CGAAGAAGTGTTGTGGATGATTAAGCTGACCGTATAGTATATAATTCGTTTTTAATGGGGTCTGTGGTGGATATATTAGTACTTATGAGTTTTATTAGGATTTGTTTTATCTTGTTTGTAGTTAGAATGTACTTGATTTCGGGGTAGTAGGTTGATATCTTTAGGATTATTTGAGGAGGTATTACGACCATTTTTGATTCATATTAATATTTCTAATGGATCATCTAATTTTTTTCTGATACAAAATTTGATAAGCCATGCAAAAGTTAACTATTCCACAAAAATATTTCTACACTGAAATAAACAAAAAAACATTAAAAACTCTCATTAATAATGCCTTTCCTAGTTACATTGTTGAAGAACAAGTTAAACGAACTATTAGAAATATTATCATAAATAAATAAAAAAACCCAGAAAAATCCGATTTACATGGTAACGAGCGGCGTAATTAATCATTAATCTCAGTCTGCAAATATCTATCTATCTATCTATCTATCTATCTATCTATCTCAGACCGATCATATGTATCTATTCATCCCATATCACTGATATCTATCCATCTTGGGCCTTTTGTTATCTATCTATCATCTATCTATCTATCTATCTATCTATCTATCTATCTATCTATCTATCTCTCTATCTATCTATCTATCTATCTCAGACCGGTCATATATATCTATACATCATATCACTGATATCTATCTTGGACCTTTTTATTTTCTATCTATCTATCTATCTATCTATCTATCTATCTATCTATCTCAGTCTTTACATACATACATACATACATACATATCTATCTATCTATCTCAGTCTATTCATATCTATCTATCTATCTATCTATCTATCTATCTATATCAGACCGATCACATGTATCTATGCATCCCATATCACTGATATCTATCCATCTTGAGCCTTTGCTTATCTATCTATCTATCTATCTATCTATCTATCTATCTCAGTCTATTCATATTTATCTATCTATCTATGACTGTTAATATATTCTCTCTCTGTCTTTCTCTCTCGATGAATCTAATTTACAAGCATAAAACTGAAAGTCTCATGAAAAATATAGTCAATAATTTGTCTTTGATAAAATCTTTTTAACCATTTTTCACCTTTTTACACCATCTGGGGTTTCAGTCGCGTCGAATCTCTGATGCCCGGCAGCTTCGAACAAATAAAAATTGCAATTTTATGATCATTGATTGCAATTCAGTGAATTTTTATAGTGATCTTTATTCCTGGGCCTACAGAATATTTACAGTGTCTTATCACACCGTTGTTGCAAGAAACTTTTGCAAATTGCTTGGCTAACTAGAACGGGAAAACATTTGCTAAATTCATTTTTGATATAATATTCATGAGACTATATATATATATATATATATATATATATATGTATTAGTGGTAAATGTACACATACATATGCAAAATATATAGATATATATACATAGATGCATACACATACATATATATTTTTTGAATAAAAAATTCTGAGAGGATAGAATCCAGGTAAAACTCAATGCCCAGGACAGAGTAAGGATATAATAAAAAGGCTTCAACACTAATATTCCATGGTAATAATTTATTCCATTGGAAACGTAAATACGATCCAGTTCATCAGACCTACAAATTCAAAAAGAAAACAGAAAAGAACAAGTCCGGAAATATATGTATGTATAGATAGATAGATAGATAGATAGATAGATAGATATGAAGTTGTGGAAAGTCATGATCGCTCATGATCTGAAGAGAGACAGCACGAAGAAGAAGAAGAAGAAGAAGAAGAAGAAGAAGAAGAAATAATAATAATAATAATAATAATAATAATAATAATAATAATAAAAATAGTAATAATGATGTGTAGTAATAGTAATAGTTCTATCTGGAGAACGAAAAAGACGAAAAAAGAAAGAAAAGTTGAAAGAAGAAGAAAAACAAAAAAACAAAAACAACAACAACAACAAAAGCAGCAACAACAACAAAAAGTGATAGTAGCAATAGTAGTAATTGGAGAATGATAAAGAAGAAAAAAGAGCAAGTAAAGAAGAATAAAAAAAGGAAGACAAGAAGAAGAACAGAAAGAAAAATGAAATATGGAAGACATGAATGAAGATTAAAAATGACCAATGATTTTTCTTCTGTCGGTCAACTTCAAGACTTTCTCTTTCCTTCCTAAATTCAGCTGCCCACGTTTACCCTGTTGATAAAGTTGGAGCCTCATCCCCTAATCATGAATCCCTTTTCTCCAGTTAGTTGATAATACCAGGATATCAATTTTTTTCCTATTTTCAAGAGAAGTCGTTACTATTTCTTTTTGAAATTTTCGTTGGACAGTTGGAGAGAAATTATGCACTTACTAATAAGAATAGCTGCCAGATTTCACGGGTCACGTGTCACTCCTTCATAATAAGTCTATGAACTTTTCAACCCAGCCTCGTAGATATTTTTATTACTTTTTGCATCTTCTGTAAATCCAAAACCTTTCCAAGATGGCAGACGTGTGAAATCAGCAGTTGTTGAGACAGAAAGGATATTTCCAAAATCCAATTGTTTAGAGTCACAAAAGTTTTTCCAATCACAGCATTAAACATAAAATGCCTTGTTGTCTATGAAATATTTATCTTTCTTTTGGACAATCGGTTGTCTCTTTGCTTAAGGCAAAACTATTTCATGTAATTTTTGAAAAGATATTGCAAAATACTTTGACATTCATTTCTTTAAAATATTCGGTCGTACCAGCGTTGAAGAATGAATAAAAATCCATTTCTCATACACCTGTGTACACAAACGCATACACACATGGTTTTAAATATGTTCGCATGGGAGATAATTTATAGTTCAGGCTTGAAGATTGCGTTCAAGCATAAAAAAGACAGTCTTCTCAGTGTTGACCTCAGTTTGTTTAATAAATGGAGTCAATTTGTTCAGACAAAAGGAAAAGGGAGAGAAAGAAAAAAGAAAAAAGAAAAAAAAAGAACAAAGTATAATAAAAGAGGAAGAAAGAAACATTTTTTGGGAAAAGACAAAGAGAGAGAGAGGGAGAAAGAGAGAGAGAGAGAGAGAGAGAGAGGGTGGAAGAATTAAACTTGAGTCGACAGAGTGACCTAAAAATGATTTTTTTCGTTATGGACTGAACAAGTTAAAATACAGGGATCAGACTTAAAATAGATACAGTTAAGTGTCATTTTCGACAGTTCATCGCATTATAACAATCGCAATAATATTAATAATAATAATATTTGACGTCAATATCAAAAGTAAGTTAAACAAATTAAAACTAAAATATATAATTATATATAAAAATGTTAAATAAATAATGAAAAACAATAAGAGATAAATAAAGAACAAAGTTAAAAAAGTAAAAATACGTATATATACATACACATAGATATACATACACATACACATATATATATACACACAAGTATATATATATATATATATATATATATATATATATATGCACACATACTACACACATATATTTATATATATATAGAGAGAGATAAGAATAAAAAATAATGTCAATAATAAAAAAGAAGGATAATATTATCAAAAATTAATATGAATTAATTAATAATTTAAGATTACAACAGATGTAGAGAAGAAAGTCACATGAATGATCATGTACAAAAATATGTATACATGAACGTATCCATGTTAGTACCCATATCAAACAAAACAACCGATGTAAATTCTCCAAAATCAATGATTTTACTAAATTTTAAATCTGTTCTTGTGTCTAAACTTGAAGACAAATTCGTTTCTTTGATTCAATAATTGTTTAGTATTTTATAATTAATCATTATGATTTTTTCCTGTAAACATAGCATAGTGCCGGAAGTTGTTGGAGTCTGAGATTGAGAAATGATCTTCTATTTGATTCATAGAGTGTTCTTTAGTCTGAGGAGATGAATATTTTTTTATATATATTCATGAAAAAAATTATAACCGAATGGATTTTTAAGGATGGTCTGCAATTATATATATATATCGATTCTCCCCGTCGAGATTCGACGTATGAGGGTCAAGCAGATCAGTTTCCAGGAAACTGACAGCCCGACACCGGCACATGAGATTTGATTATAGTGGTGAAGGTTTCGTGCAGGACCATCCACACTTTTTGAAGGGCCGAATACAGAGACCTGGTGAACTACGTTCCACAAGGTCCCCAAACAACCCCCCTCAGGTTTTGAGTTCAGAGTTGTCCTTCTCCTAGACCAGTTGCCACCCAAGGCTATTGAACCCAGTCTGTCCTGCTATTTACCCATAGCTGGAGGGAGAAGAGGATTCACACCTTTCCCAAGAGTATTAGCACGTAAGTGAATGTAATGGATTCAACCTGGATTTGAACTCGGCTCTGCGATTCCACAATCCAAGACGATATCCATTACCCCCACCGTTTCCTATGAAAAAGCGCGAACTGAAAGCTGCTGCTAATAAAACTGTGCTAGATGTAAAATAACATACCTATAGTTTATACTACTAATAAAAATACATTTGTTGTTCACTTTTTGGTACAACTCTGTATGTTTTACCAAACAGCGTGTAACAAATGCAGATTACTTATTAGTATGTATATATATATATATATATATATATATATATATATATATATATATATATATTGTCATCCACAGACAGACTGTTCCGATGTATCACAGCTCATCAGTGTGGCTAGACGTCCGGTTGCCTTTGATTTTTAATTGTGTGTATGCTTTGTGTATCTGTTTCTAGAGTTATAGGGATGTGTCTGTGTGTGTTAAAATATGTATATATTATCTGCCTATATTATTGAGTTGAGGTATCGTAACTACAATATTTACATTGTTCAGACTGTTGTCATTATCTGTTGCCATATTCACGGCGTTTCGAGCTTCGTATGTTCTGACCTTCTTCAGGTGATTGGAATTTACACTCTCATCTCCAAAGACATATAGCCCAGTAACTAAAAGCGCTGGTTGAAGTAATCCAATGTCTTGGCCCAGAGAGTCATGAGTTCAATACCATCACATCTATGATCCTTCATATGACCTCACTTTAAAAAAAAAGCCCTCTTACCTTGGTATCTATCGCTCACATGTATGAACAAGCATACTATTGTACTTCTTTCCCTTTGTATCTGTGTTGGGGCATATATTTTTGTATATGCAAACATGTGTGCCTCGTCTATGTCAATAGGTACAAGTGTGTATTCGTGTGCTATATGTTGTATTTTCTCATGGGTAGGTGCATAGATTACGCGTTGTGTATACATCTGGGTACACTTGATGAAAAGCACTCTTAAGTGCCTCTTTACTGTCATATGGTTAGTAATGTATTTGAGGATATCTTACATACCTTGTACTCGTCAAATATGTTCATAACTGTTTATGAATACAAATAGATAAATATGTGAGTATGTGTATATATGTGTGTGCGAAAACAATGTGTAGATGGATGCAAATATGTGTATGGATGTAGGCACATATGTGTATGTGTACTTATATGCGTATATAGAAGAATGTGTATGTATGTAGGTGTAGGGATTTGTGTACGTTCTCTGTTTCTCCTTTCCTTTCTCCTGTTCCCTTCTTTTTCCGTTTTCTTTTTTCTTTGTTCCATTCTTGAAAAATCTACTCCACTTCCTTCTCTTGTCCGGTGAATAAGAGGTCAACGCTACTACTATCGCATCTCCTAGAGACATATATCTCACTCCTTCTCTTTCTACTTTGTGGAAATATCTTCAAACATAACTTCCGTTAATCTAGTTTTCAATATTCGGTTGATTCCTGGAAGAATTTTTGAATCCATTCATTGTTTTGAAACCGCAAGGTCTGACGAAGCGAAACCGAATTTTATTGGTCTCGTGAAATATAAAATATTACCATGGTTTTCTGAAGTCACCGATTTGTTAATTAATTATTCCTTGCTCTGTTTATTACATTGAGCTCTCGGGATTTATATCCTCCCTGGAATTATACATACGGATTACCAATTAATTTT